CCCCCGTCCCCCCCCCCCCGGCAATGTCCCTGGCTGCAGCCCCCACATCACAGCAGGGTCTCAGCAAACTCCTCTTACCCCCCTGACAGAGTCACGGATAAGGAAGCGCCCAAATCCCTTGTGCGGGAGCGGAAAGCACCTTTTGAACAACAGCAGGGATGCTGTCCCCCTTTTTCAAAAGCATGCCCCCCCCACCCCAGGCAGGCAAGAGCCATGCCCGGAAAGCCACGGCACCGACACTCCTGAACGTGGAAAGGCTTTTCCTTGTCCTTCGCTGCAGCTGCTGTCCTGAGCCCTGGCTCAGCTCTCATCTCCTCCAGAATAAATATGGAGCAATCCCATGCCACCCCCACCACCCCAGAACCACCCTCTTGGCACCCACGTAGCCATGGGGGATTCCCCCCACTGTCCCCTCCCTGACGGAAGGGGATGGAGCTCCCGCCCTGCTGCCGTGGGCTGGCTCCTGGGGTACACAGGGGTGCACGATGGGCACCCAGGGAGTTTTGGGTTGGGTGCCAGCCCCCCCGCTCCCCAGTGCAGCGTAAGTAAGCTCTGTGAGCGTCAGAGATTCATCCGCTCATCGGCAGGAAACCCAAACTGCAGGGTGCCTCTGGACATAAATCATCATCTTTGGGGTTTCACTTACTCCTCAGTAATAGATGGGTAGAACAGTAACTGGCAGTGTAAGCACACGTCGTTCATCCAGGCTAATCTGATGGCAAAAGGCTCCGTTGAATACGGGTGCCGAGCAGAGCGAGGGGCTCCCCGTTGTGCCCTCCCCCTGGCAGCGTGCCGGAATCCGCCCGTGGGTGAAGCTCAGGCCATCGGCCGCAGGGACCCAAACCCCAGCACGGGCACAACCCTTGCTGGTGCTGGAGCGGGGCACGGGGGAGTCGCTAAAACCGGGATCATGGATGGGCCGAGCTCCCTTCGTGGCTCTGCCAGGGCTGGATGTGCCTGGAGGTGCAAGGGTCCCTGCTGACCCCCGGCGTGGGGTCTTGGAACTCAGGGGGGGCTGCAGAGCATCGCTGCGAGGCTCCCTGTGCCATCAGGGTCCAGGTACCAGCCTCATCTCCAGGTTTGCTGTGTGATACGCACAGCCGTGACAACTCCAAATTCCCTGCTAATAAATAACCCTCGACCCCTCGTGTTGGGAAGAGCTCCAAACAAACCATCCATCCGGAGAGCCGAAGGGCTGGCCATAACCTCCCACCGTCTTTCCTCTTGCAGGGCCTGACGGGAGCTAAAGGGGAGCCGGGACCCATCGGTGGGCCAGGACTTAAAGTGAGTGAGGGGCTGCTCTGGGGCAGTCGCTCCGGGTTCCCACCTTCCCTCCCTGGAGCCAGCAGAGGCTGAGAAGGCTGGGAGCAGCCCCATTGCCGTGGAGGGGTGGAGGGATGCAGGAATTGGGCGATGGAGTATTTGGCAATGAGGGGCACCGCAGCTGGGGCCAGGGAGGGGTGTATTTTAGGAGCTGACGCAGCAGCCGAGCCCGTTCTGGCTCCTGACTCTCGCCTTCTATCCCGACAGGGCCAGCCCGGACTCCCAGGGCCGCCGGGTCTCCCTGTGAGTATCTGCCTCTCCCATGGGTGCTGGCACCCGCTCCCTCAGCACCCATGAGGAGGGTGGGACCCAGCCCCAGCCCTCCCAGCTGCATCCTGGGTGGGGGCGTGGGCATTGCCTGGGTTGGCAGGGATGCTGGTAGGACTGGGGTGGGAGGGTGGAAGATTTTTTGGATATCAACTGTGTCTTTCTTCCTGTTGCAGGGTCCTTCGCTGCCAGGACCACCTGTAAGTGCCAGGCGCATGGGGCTGGGGGAGCAGGGACCCTGCTCGGGGTTACACTGGAAGAGCTCAAATCTCAGCACCCCAGAAAGTGGGGGTCTCGGGGCTTGCCCTCTCTCACTCAGTGAATGTCTCTCTTCTCCTTAAGGGGCTTCCAGGCCAGGTTGGGATTCCTGGAGAGATCGGAGCACTGGGACCCAAGGTGAGGAAAACCTCCCCTCCTTACACCAGCATCCGTTTCTCCACACTTGAGGGCTCCTGGGATAAACAGGGATGACCCCATAATGTGGGAGAGTGGGATGGGAACGGAGGGGTGATGGAATCTGCCTGCAGCTGGGTCCCTGGTGCCATCCATCCCCTCCCAGCTCACAGCCGGGGGATGCCCCAGGTCCCGCTGTGACAGCCTGGGTCTCCGGTTCTTCGTCACCCCTCTCTCCCCCCGGCTCTGGGTGTACCTGCCGCCTCCCCACCCCTAAATCTCC